ATTAATGTTCGATGCAAATAACCCTCTATTCATGCATTTATTCAGATGCTGGCCATCCATTTACTTTCCTCCCTTTGTCTAAGGCTAACCTATACTTCCAGATATGGCTATGAGACGTTCCTAAACTCCTCAGATGCTTACCTTTTCATTTATGAGGCATTTTTAGAGTGTAATTGCTGCACCCACATGAGATAAATGAAGTCTTCCAAAGCATGAAATGTAATTCACTAAATAATATCTTGGCTGCTGTGTGGAAGGTGGGCTTCTTAGAGAGCAATCCCACTTACTGTTGTTAGTTTTAACAATGTTTGATAAAAAATAAAGACCACGTTCATGGGCACAGTAAGCGCGTGATGATTTTTTAAGAAAAGAGAGTATGATTTTATTGTATATATACATATAAACATAGGCATATTTGCAAACACAGGGGTACTTTATTTACCTCTACTCTTCATAACACAGCAAATACAAGGACTAAAACATTTAAGTGCTCTGAGAAGCTAAAATAGATCTCGTAAATCCATATCCTGAAGATTTTTACCCAAAAAAGGACAGAACAAAACAAGGTAACTCCAATTTTAGCATCTCTTCATTCTATTTCAAAAACATACATCCACTTTAAAAACCTTTGATTGTAGTTGCTTTTACTTTATATACATATTTTTAACAACCTTAGTTACATTTCTCAGCCCACTGCAGAGAGAATCAGCAAATTAGACAGAGCTCTGTAACAGCCTTATAGATTCAAGGCACATTGGCAGAAGCAAAAATGAGCAGTGAAGGTTGTCACTGATGGAGAAGAAGGAAAAACAAGCAGAAAGAAGGCTTAAGTGAGTTTAGTCTAGGGTCATTTGATATAGGGGGTGCTGCTCTTACTGTACCCTGATAAGCTTGCTCTGTTCCAGGTAAAATGAAACAGCTTATGGTTATTAAAATGAAACTGAGTCATTATGCAAAAGTCATATTATCCCTCAAAATATTGTGACTTTCACTCATGTCTTTATTCAACTGGCATTTAATAAGACTGACTTTTTAAAAACATGGCTATACTCGGGGCAACAAGGATAGAAAGGAAAAAAGACACAGCAGTGGATTTTTTAAATGTGACTATGGGTGGGTAGAAATAAATATAGAGAAAAAATACTTGTAATAGCATGAGAGGAAAAAACTCTGCTCTTCTAGAAATATGTACCCAGTGCTTCAGAGCCAATCAGTGGGAGAGACTGAGAATGCATACAATATATCAGGGAAGAGAATTCCCACCCAAACACATTTCAGTTTAGAAAGCCATTATGTGATATGTTGCATTCCCAGGTGTGCCAGATAAATCAGGCATAGTCACTATGTGTTACAGTGCTGACAAATGACACATAAGGCTTGTGGAGCATTTGCTTTAGGGGAAATGGTGTCTGTGTAAGCAGTGACATGTGTGACATTCTAAGAAGCAGGTTCAAATTTATACAGATGATTACATGCACATAGATAGACAGATCTGGGGCAAACAGGCATTTTAGGACACACACAGGATTGCCTTCTAGTATGTTCTCAGCATCCTTAACACAACTGTATATGGTAATATGTCATAATATTAAGTCTTCCATTCTAGAAGACCTCTCCATAAATTCAACTCCATTTCATTCCACTCCTCAGAAACTCTGGAATTTTTGTTTTGCATGATCCATTTTAGCATTTAATCACAGGCTGCCTTATATTGTCATTTGATTTCAATATGTACATTGCTTGTCTGCTCAATTGGAGACTGTGAATCATTAAAGGGAAGCAATTGTTTCTCCTAGGGCCCTTAAGGCTCCCATATCATAAACTAGCATATAGCTAAATTACAAAGTATCTACTCAACAAATAGATTTATTGACTTTAATATGAAGATTAAATCTTACCAATGCTATAAGTGAAGTTGCTAAAACTGTTTCCTAATAGATGAGAATATATACAGTGCCTTAAAATACCATAGTAGGTGGCTTGTCCACATAGCAGCAGATTGCACTCACCCTGTCTACATTTCAAGTCAATCTGACACTTATTTATTATGACTATTTACTATTGCTGTGAAGCTTCCTAAGTGGTTCTTAATACCTAGTAGATGCAAATGGCAGGAGTTTTTCACCTCTTACCATTGTGAAATTGGTTGCATATATGGTTAATGGAAGTCTGAAGCTATACTTATTTGCTGGAGATCTTTATATAAGTACAAAGGACAGATCTGTGTTCCTAGTGGGACAATCACCTTCTGCGTCATACAACCACTCACAATCAGATTACAGATCTAGATTGTGACTAATATTTGGCTCTCATAGGTGGTTACCATAGAGGGAATCAGTAATAGCATAATTGTCATTTCCTTGGAAAAAATTAATCCACAGATGGATCCCAACACCCGACTGCATTGGTGTCCAAAGCTAATGGGATTTTTTGCTAAATAAAGACTGATTCGGCCAAAAATGATGTACTCTGACTTGAGAAATCTGTATCACACATCACTCCAAAAAGTATATTTTGCAAGCACTGATTGCATTGGAACACTAGAATTTTCCTAATGGGGGGACAAAGGGAAAAGTCACTTATTAATTTAAAATGCATATTTATATTTTTTCCTTTATAAGATGAAGCAATGAAATGAAACAATGCTATAGTGCATTTGCAAAGTTTCACTTACTGAATATGTCTTTCATATTTCTTTATTTAGCTAAATCATGTAAAATTTTTCATTGAGATTAGGAAGCTGCTTATTAAAATAATCCAGTGTTCTTCAACTTTCTACTTCAAGGTGTAAGTCCATGGGAGAGGGAGAGGAATGCCGATGAGAAAGACTAGGATATTTATTCACCCCTCCTCCCATAACTAAATATATACAACCAACCATAATCTTATAACTTGGTGTTCCTTTCTTTAAAGATTTTCCTATCATATAAAACTACTTTGGCCTGTGGTACATTCAGTTTATTTACAGTAAAATATTAAAGTAAAACCATTTCAATCCAAGTTTCAGGGAAATGGCATCTTCTTCTGGATGACTGATGTTCAAAAACAGCTGGAAATAAAAGTGTTGCCTCTCTGAATTCATATGGTTTGGAAAATTCTTAGCCATCTACAGATGCAGAGATTGAATCATAATAAAAGAAGAGAACATATATAAATGATTAATTTCCTCTTTCCATTTAGGCTTAACATGTTTTAAGGAATTAATCAGACCTCTCCCACCTGTTTCTTAGAAGAAATCCAACAGAAAACACATTTCAGGTTATCCCAGTGGAATCAGCTGTAATTCATGCTCTGTCCTTGGGCTATCTAGAGTTAGCTTGTCTGTCTCCAGGTTCTTTTAGCTTCGGGGTACAGCCTGGGTTCCTAGACATCCATCTATTTCGCAGAGTTCATTCAAGCTGTTTATAAATAACACACGACTTAATAAATAAGCGTTAAGGTAGACCTCCCTCGTGTGAGGCATCACATTCCCTCGTACAGTGCTTTAAAGGGCCAGACAGTTGGTAACAGGGCTTGCAGACTGAGTAATCTCAACAAGTGGAATGGAACAGGAATGCATTTGGCTATCAGAGCAGTGACACCGCGTGCATAAACTACTCCACATCCTTTTAATTTCAATATTTTGTTCAGTGCTAGGAAAAGAGGCACACGCTAACGCAGGATTAAGTACAAATCTGCAAAACCAAAGCATATTTCACCAGCACCTCCTAGAGGCCATGTGAGGGTATGAGGCTCAGAGGTGAGCACAGGCGCAAACCCTTCCCTTGTAAAGTGCGTTTCACCTCTCTCTCTCTCCAAACACAAATGTACCCGGACTGTGCCGCCCAGAATAAGAACTAGATTGTTGAAGTAGTTTGGCGACTCTAAGAGGCCTTTTAGAGGATTAATAAACTGCTCGAAAGACAAATTTGATCGCTTGAGGAAGTTAACATTAATCACACACACGTATTTCGAACTCGCTGTTAGGAAAAGACTACTAAATGTTTTATGCTTGTATAATGCAGTTCACACAAACATACACAAACTCACACAGATTAATCTACGAAGTTCCAGTACCCAGACCCAGTTAACACTGAACTTGACAGATTTTTAAAAGGGTCTACACGTTATTGCCTTGTTGCTGGAAATGAGGGCTGGAAGGCGCTGATGCAAGGGCAAAGCGTGAGTGTCTGTAGGAGTTGCTGTTCCAGAGAATTCATTACTCTCTAATTGCTCCGATTTTAGATCAGCAGAGCGTGCCGGGCGGTGGTGGAGAAAGAGATTGAGGGAGGACAGCAAGAGAGGGAAGAAGTCGTTCACCCTTTGGAGAAGTCTAGGCGCTTTGTACGTAATTCACGAACAGTGGGGAAGAAAGAGTCCTGCGGCTATGCACTTGCAACACTTGCGCGCGTCTAAATCCAGCTGGGCTGTGTGCGCCAGTCGCAGTCCCTTTCCCCATTTAATTTGCGGCTTCTCCGCGTAGTGCAGGTTCTGCAGCGGATTCGCGGGGGTGGGAGGAAGGGTGGGCGCACCAGGGTTGAAATGCAATCCTCCCTAGCTGCAGACGTTTCGCCCTGGCACTGGCACCAGCATTTCTCTGTCCCCTCGAGAAGCACGCACGGCGCAGTGGCTACAGAGGATAGAAAAAGGGAAGTGTGGGGCTCTGAGAAGGGTAGGAAACTTTGCCTAAGGCCAGGCTGCAATTTTAAGTAGCCTCCAAAGCCCGGAAGCGGAGCTTTCCACCTGCTGCTTTCCAAGATGGAGCGCAAGCTCCTCCTGCCCAGCCGGGGCCTGACTCCCGGACCGGGCTTGGAGGCTGTAGGCGGTGGAAGCCGCGGCAGGTTCTCCTAGTTGGCAGAGCCCAAGGCCGCGGGTGTAGCATCCTCCCCTCCCCGCCGCGGTTTTCTGGGCCGGACGCGCGGCCAGACCGGCTGCGATTGGCCCGCAGCGACCGGGGGGCGGAGCCAGGCAGGCCGGTATCTCGTGGGCCGGCTCAAAAGAGCCCAGGATATTGCAGAGCGCACTGGAGCCCTGGCCAGCGCGCAGTCTTCCCCGTAGCCGGCAAGCTGAGTCTTGGGAATTCTGGTTTGCTTTGGCTCACTGGCTCTTACAAACTACTGGATCTTACATGCCTCTGTGCCCCCCAACTTCCACTCCATGTCCCCATGCTCCTGCTCCAGCAACAGGTAAGGGCTGCTGCGTGTTTTCTTTTTCTCCTTCTGTCTCTCTGCCTGTGTGTCCTGGGGAGTGGACTCGGGCTGCCATTCGCGACTGTGTCCTGCCCCGCTGCTCCAGAAGTGCCCAGCTGTCATGCTGCAGTAGCGCTCACCGAAGCTCCCGAGTCCCAGATCATGCCTATAGAGTTTGTGTGCGCACCAGAACATCCCCAGATCTAAAAATACTGAGACATGCTTGGAACAGTTGAGCAATAGAAACATTTCTCTGCAGCATCTGTTTGTGCTCATAACTTCCAATGCACCAGCTGTAGCGAGATACTGAGTTTGGAGACAAGGGCGAGGGAACTTTACTTTGACTCTCACTCTAACGAAGAAAAGGGAAGGGGCGCAGTGTATATGTAAAGTACTCGTCTCAAACCTTGGCAGACCTTGGTACTCAGCAATTCTCTTGATCCATGGCTTTTTTTTTTTTTCCTTTGTCATTGCTTCGAGTGTAGTGTCGAATTCGAAACAGAGCAAGCGTCTCAAAGTTGCTTTGGGGAAGAAGAGAGCAGGAGCTCGAGTTGGAATGGAGCCTAAACACCGAAAAACTTTCACACCATTATGTCTCTCTCCCCTAAGCAACTTAGGATTCCTAATAGTATTAACACCTAAGTTGAAGACAGTGTGGTTTCTAGGGAGCCTAGTGGTGGAAACGACATTTTCTGCAAAAAAGATTGCATCATAACACAGACTCATCGTGACAATTGGAAAAAAAAATAGAGATAGGAAATGTTTGTGCCTGGGTGAATGTATCAGTAGGATGGCAACCAGGATATGGCTGTGATTCCTGGGGATTTTTATAAACTCAGGACTTACCTGTAATAAATAAGACTTTATTTGAAAATGTGTTTTGGGTATGCAAAGAATGCATATTGCTTTTTATCACTTTTTTCACATTAATAATCTAAAGGCTGTCAGATTTTTCTCCCACCAACCACTGTTGTATGTCTGCTGTGTATTAGCATGTACTTGTTAGCTTTTTCTTGCTCACTTCCACCCTCATCCCCTGTGTTTTATTTATATTTGCCATTATCTGGAAAAATCTCCATGCTCAGGAATAAAAGGTGTAACTTCAAGGACTGTGGGAGGGGTGGGAGTTGGGGTCAAGGTCATTTCACTTTGCCTTTAACCCTTCCCCCTCATGTTTTGGGGGCACTTCATTTCATGTTATTGGTGTCCCTAGGAATATTTGTTCTAAGCTCTTGTAAATTTGTCACTAAAAAGAACCCATGGTATTTCCACTTCCATGAGACTCCCTGGTTGTTGAATCTGCAGTTAGCAGTAGAGTCCTTATATGACTTTTGAGTAGCTTGAAAGGTTGACCATGTCTTTACCCAAACAGATGGGCTGCTTTAAGTTTTTCTTTATTTTAGTGTATTTTTTCATTTATCATATAACATATATTTTTCAGCATTTGTGTATGCTGAGTGATGCTGCGTGCATTGTTGATTGTAAATGTTGAGGTGATCACGTAGGCAAATGGGTATCCCCTTCCCCTTCCTTGTTTCCCCTCCCCCTCCCTTCTGTTTACTGAGCTTCTAAGAGGTTGCTTTGCTAGCAGTTGTGCTCACATAGCAACATGTGCCCAGAGCACACCAGGCTGGTCTATATGGCGTCAGCTGGGGAATAGCTGCTCTAAACACTCATTAGCAGACCTCTCTCTAAGCCCAGCACACTACCTAGCTTGTACTACCTAGCTCTCATCCTTAGCTTTTCACTTGCTTTTTCACTACGCCATGAACATATAGTATGGGGCACATGCATTCTTCTTTATTGTTCACAATTACATTTTTCTGTTTTTTTTATAATTCATATTGGAAATATTTTTTATATGATAAAAATGACTTAAGGTCAGTCACTGTGTTATCTCCTTGACATTTTTTTCACCCATAGCTCCCTGTCCCTTAACATCTACCTAAGATTGAAGCACTGAACTATTTTTTTCCATTGCTTATGCTTAATTTTGGCTCAGCCTATAAATAGTCTTACCATGAACAGCACCACATGTAGCTTCTCAATTTCCCAGAAACATTTTCTACCTCATTGGTTATAGCCTGGGTGAAATGATGATTTGTGTCTTTCAAATTTACATCAGGCCCTTCAGTATTTTGGCTGAAAGGGGGATTCCCACGTTGTTCATCCAATCAAATATCGATTCTTCTCAGTTGTTCCCATCAAGGAGTCACCTCACTCAGTGTTCTCATCTGCTCTTAATTGATTCTTTCTCCAAAAATCATTTTGAATCTGTCCATAAAACCAAGTTGCACAGAAGCCCTGTTGCGAATGGAAGTTCTCCCAGATGCTCATGGCTTGGTGATTTTCAGTGAGAGAGGAGCAAGCAAGTTGTCCCCTTGCCTAAAGCCACTTGGCATTTGGGCAGGGTAATAGGAAAGTCACTTTTCTTAGTGGAATACTAAAACAATTAACCTATCAGACTTTGGCAGGTTCTAGATTTTTGCTATGTAATCAGCCACACCAAAGTCTAAATGCATGCACACATACAAATCTGTTTTGGAGCACATCTATTCAAAGTGGCGAAAGTCTCCATTTTGCCCCCCAAAATCCTTTTTCCCCTTTCTAAGTGGAAATGGCAAAATTTGTAAATGATGCTCTGCATGTGGAACACATTCTGTTATTAGCAATGGAAACGAAGCAATAATAGTCACTCAATCCAGGCTCTTTGCAAGGGTCTAAATGTGGAAAGCTATTCAGAGGAGGCTGGTAGTGTGCAGTTTTGTGGGATTCAGGCTAATGTCCTGGAGTCAAGATTTTTGGAAAGTCGTCGTAATTCAGTCTTTAGATTTCCTGTGGTTGTTATGCTTTAATCTGAAAAAGTGCAGAAATAAGTCAGAAGAAATTTGAGACTGTCTATGCATGGTCCCTAATGCTAACTCAGAAGGAAGGATTATTTTGAATCATCAAAAGGGAATTTCTTGGTGTCAGCTTATAAAATTCTGAAGTCCCTCAGAATGCAAAGATACAAGAACTATTTAAGTGAAGCCTTTCCCCCCACCCTTGTTTGGGAAAAATACACCTGCATTTGGTGTTGTGTCACCTCTATCTGGTTTTGTGTAGAAATGCTTGGCAATTTCATATGAGTCAAATGAGCTGCGAGCACTGTATAGAAAGTTCTTTTCATGTGTCCAGGATCTAGAACCCCGAGGAATAGGAGTGTTGTTTCTTTTGTCCAAGTACAGACTTCCTAGAGAAGCAGACAAAACATTGAAGCAGGTGGAAGACTGGGAAGGCACAGTAACTTCTTTTTATAAAGTAATTCAAAGACACTTTCAAATCGGGCATCATTTAGGTGTCAAAAGCTGCCAAAATGTAACACACATTGCAATTTTCACAGATGACTAATCTGAGGAAAAATGTGTTGGGGCACATTCTTGCATAATAACTTGGATGAGGAGGGAAAAGAGAAAAGACTGTAACGAGGCATTTTTCAAAGACAATGCACCTTGCCTCTCTGTAAGGGGGTGAACAAAAATAAGATAAATGACTTGCTTTTTTGTTTGCAGGTGGCTTGGCTGAGATTGGTTTTGTTAACTGCTTAATCTTAATATGATTTGGTTGGGGGAGAAAGCAAAAGTGCAGTCCTCATTATGAGGGCTTCAACGGATTTCTGACCTTTTTTATCTGTTGTTCCTTGTCTGCCTTTAATGCAGGAGAAAGATGTGGCTGCTTGAAATGTGGAGAATCACTTTTAGTTTTTAATTCTATGCTGCATTAATTTATATTTGATAAAGAAAACACCCCCTGCCTTTTGCTTAGGCTTTTGTTAATTAATCTAGGGGAAAAATAGTGTCTTTGGAGCTGAGAAGGAAAGTTAAAATCTATGGATAGTTTTTTTTTTAACCTAGGATAGGATAAGGCAAGAGTAGAAAACTGAGAACTACTGTTTGTTCACATTAGGTAAAGGTGAGTGCCTTCTCCATAGGAACATACAGCAAACAGCAGCGCTTGGAAGTGAAAGTAAGCTGACTGACATTTATGATCTATTCCTACACAGTTGCCTCTGTTTGGGAAAACACAGAATTGGACTCATATGAAATGAGTTCCTGCCTTATCTCAATCCCTTAAAGACCTGGTCCTTTGGCACAAAGGTGCTTACTTCCAAGCCTATCATTACACATGGCAGTCCCATCTCCAGAGAATTTTCAGGACTCTGATTGCTAGGCAACAGAATCGCTCTCTCCCCCAGAGCAAATTTGCGTCTTCAAGTCAGAATCACTTGCACTAACAGAGATGTTATCAGGCATTTCTGCATAGTGGCTGCTTGAAGTGTGCGGAAGAAGGAAGCCAGCCCAAACATTTTGCCAGAAATTGGGATCCATTTCAGATGATTTTAAGGACTTGTCTGCTCAGTTTCATCATTTAAACAAAAATAACCTATGCCTTCTGATTTCACCCTTGTCATATTCTTCCATAATGTACCTGCAGTTCAACTGATAACATTCTGCATTCGTATGGAGTGTTCTCTAGATGTGTCCAAGTTCTTGAATCTCCATGGATTGAGTTTTGGATTAACCTTGGGGTTAGAAAGTCTTTCTTCTGTTTAATAACTCAAGACCCTTGCAAGCAGAGAAAGCAAAAGAAGAGAATGAGAGGGGAGATGTAGACCCATACAACAGAACGTTTTAGATTGTTTGCAAATAATAGGAGAAACGGGACCTGAAAGTTTCTGGAAAGAGTGTCACAAACAACTAATTTTTCTGGGTTTAAAGATTTAATGCTGTTAAGTATAATTTAAAAAAATCTTTTGTGAAGCAAAGAATTAAAAACCCAGTCGTTCAACATGGGGTATATTTATTTATCTACGTCTGACTCTGTGTCTTGCTAGGAAGTGTTGCCTTAGGAAGCAGAACCCTTAATAATGATTTCTTTTGTAATGAATGCTCTCTCTGTTTTTGGCAGGACCTGTTCTCTGGATGTCAGCTGAGTTACTAAGGTAACTCTGCATGTCAGTAGAAAGACCTTGGTAGAACCTCAAGGCTCCCGGAGAACCCCATCTCTCCTTATTTTTTTTTTTGGTGTGTGTCCTCACTGAGCATTCAAAACTGTTTCTCCAAAGGGTTTTGCAAAAACTCAGACTGTTTTCCAAAGCAGAAGCACTGGAGTCCACGGCAGAAGCGATGGGCAGTGTGCGAACCAACCGCTATAGCATCGTGTCTTCAGAAGAAGACGGCATGAAGCTGGCCACCATGGCGGTTGCAAATGGCTTTGGGAACGGGAAGAGCAAAGTCCACACCCGACAACAGTGCAGGAGCCGCTTTGTGAAGAAAGACGGGCACTGCAATGTTCAGTTCATCAACGTGGGTGAGAAGGGACAACGGTATCTCGCAGACATCTTTACCACGTGCGTGGACATTCGCTGGCGGTGGATGCTGGTTATCTTCTGCCTGGCTTTTGTGCTCTCGTGGCTATTTTTTGGCTGCGCATTTTGGTTGATAGCTCTGCTCCATGGGGATCTGGATGCACCAAAGGAGAGCAAAGCTTGTGTGTCTGAGGTCAAAAGTTTCACGGCCGCCTTCCTCTTCTCCATTGAGACCCAGACCACCATAGGCTATGGTTTCAGGTGCGTCACGGACGAGTGCCCGATCGCTGTTTTCATGGTGGTGTTCCAGTCAATCGTGGGCTGCATCATCGACGCCTTTATCATTGGCGCAGTCATGGCGAAGATGGCAAAACCGAAGAAGAGAAATGAGACTCTTGTCTTCAGTCACAATGCCGTGATCGCCATGAGAGATGGCAAGCTCTGTTTGATGTGGCGAGTGGGCAATCTTCGGAAAAGCCACCTGGTGGAAGCTCATGTTCGAGCGCAGCTCCTCAAATCCAGAATTACTTCAGAAGGGGAGTATATCCCCCTGGATCAAATAGACATCAATGTTGGCTTCGACAGTGGAATTGACCGTATATTTCTGGTGTCCCCAATCACAATAGTCCATGAAATCGACGAAGACAGCCCTTTGTATGACTTAAGTAAACAGGACATTGACAACGCGGACTTTGAAATCGTCGTGATACTGGAAGGCATGGTAGAAGCCACGGCCATGACGACACAGTGCCGTAGCTCGTACCTGGCAAATGAAATCCTTTGGGGCCACCGCTATGAGCCCGTCCTGTTTGAAGAGAAGCATTACTACAAAGTGGACTATTCAAGGTTCCACAAGACTTATGAAGTACCTAACACACCCCTTTGCAGCGCCAGAGACTTAGCAGAAAAGAAATATATCCTCTCAAATGCAAATTCATTTTGCTATGAAAATGAAGTTGCCCTCACGAGCAAAGAGGAAGATGACAGTGACAATGGCGTTCCAGAAAGCACAAGTACAGACACACCCCCTGACATTGACCTTCACAACCAGGCAAGCGTACCTCTAGAGCCCAGGCCCTTACGGCGAGAATCAGAGATATGACTTACTGATTCTTTCTCTGGAATAGTTACGTGAAAACACAGTCTGGTGGTCAAAGGCCCAAAACAGTGATTCAGACGACGGTACTGGCGAAGAGGTGGGTCAAGGCAAGTGGCCACCAGGGACTGAGGCGAGCACAATGGTTTCAGAGAAAGACTCTAAGCTCAAAGATTAACGGAAAGCACTAAACATGTCTCCCCATGACCTGATGGCACATATACATGTTGTAGAATAAGTTATGGGGGTTTTGTGTTTTGTTTTGTGTTTTTACAAGACTTGAACTTGCAGGCAAGCCTTGGTTGGGTATTTGACTTATTCAGAATGCTTCTCTTTAGGGAACAAGAATGTTTTTAATGGCATAACAAAGGCAAGACTCTGCCTTAATCTTGAAAAGCTGCTAAAAACTACATGAACACAAATTGTATTTTTGTTGCAGTGTAGTTTTTCTTTAGTGTAATTTAAAAGTCAGTATTGAACTTTGTTGAAAGCTCATGATATGCGCTTCAAAGTGGCAAGTATTTGGCTATTAGCTGCCAAAATGAGAGCCTGATTTTTCGAGGCCAGTAATTTGTTTGCTAGAATTGATTCTCTCTCTCTCTCTCTCTCTCACTCTCTCACTCTCTCCTTCTCTCTCACTCTCTCACACTCTCCCTCCCTCTCTCTCTCTCCCTCTCCCCCCTCTCCCCCTCCTTCTCTCTTCCTCTCTCTCCCTCTCTCTCTCACCAGTTACATAAGGGCATTATGTAACACTAGCCAAATGGTAGCCTCCGGGTTGGGTTTTTTTTCCCTTTCATGATGTTAATGGGTTATCTCAAATTTTAAGTCAGACTACCTAAAATAAATACCAAAGATAATGCACATTTTTGCACAGTGGAGCTTATACTAAAAAGGAAGAAAAGCTTCCTTGATATCAAGAAGCAATGACTTTGAACCTCAGCAAGAACCTGAACTGCCCTTTAGAAAATAGGACATCGTACACACAGCATCTAGTGCTTTTTAAATTTTGTTCTTTCATATAACTTTTGTATTAAAAGAGGAAGAAGAAAGGGGAAGTGACATTCACACACACACACACACACACACACACACACACACTATAAACATCCTTTCTCTCCTGCCAGGTAGTGCTGGTGAGGCTAACACATAAGGTGAGAGTTGGTGACATGTTCTTGGGTTTTTCTGGGTTTTCCCTTTTTGCACATTCCAAAATTTATTCCATAAGATAAGATCTTGGTTGAATTTAGTCGGCATCCTCAACACTGAGCCATCCACCATGGAAAGTAAACTGGTTTAAGCCCTTGTGGTTGAATTCATTTCCCTGACTCCCAGGACATTTCTGGGTGGACTTTGCCTTAGAAATGATGCCACGCCAGCTCACTGGGCTGGTCCTTCTGATCGGTCCGCCTGGAGAAATGCCGAAGTGGGGGAGGCGGTGAGATGTGGACAAGCCTCTCTGGATGTAGTACATCAGCTCCTGAGTTCAGGAGAGGGAGGAAAATCACTTAGTGGTAGAGGGTAGGAATGGAAATGTCTCAGTATTTTAGGGTCAACAAGAGCCATACAAAGTATAACACAATCACAAGGAAAGGAGATAATGGCCAAAAAGGGTTATTTCTCCTTTATGTGCGCCCACTAATGACTGACTCTGAGCTGATCCTTGTCCCCGGTGGCCCTCACGAGTGGGTGACTATGGGCACTGTTTCCCAGAATCCTATCCTGCCTGGCTGCCTGACTTGATAAAAACAACTTCCCCTCACTGTAGCTTAATACTTTTTTCTTGGTCTGAAGTACCCTATCTGTGAATTCTGGGGTTACTGACTTTTCTTTTTAATTGGAGTCTCAAAACCAACTCTCTCATGGTATTATCTCCCTGTATGCCATTAAAAAACAGCTTGTTCTAGAATCCTGTATTTTGTGAATTGATGTTTGTGACGGTCTCTGGGTCTTGAGCAGCCATCTCCGAATGCAGTGCCTGCAATAAGGTCACAGCACCTGCTGTTGTCAGCTCTCCAAGTCCTTGGGTTTGAAAACTGTGGCGTTAATTTTCCTGGAAACCAAGACAGAGGTGTCAAAAGCAAGTGGATGCTGTTTGAAATCCAGATTAAAAGGCAGTTTGGGGAAGTTGTTCAGAGAGTCGGAGGGACTGGGATTGAGTGAGCAAGAGAATCTACCCAAGAGGCGCAGTTCAGCTATTGACAGTGAGAGAGTACCTAGGGCTTCAGCTGCTGCTATTTGATATTTCGCAAAGGAAAATAATCAAACCAAAGAGTATTCAGTGATATGTAAATTAAATGAAGATGGAGTGGGGGTGACTGCAGACGAGGCTCCTCCCAGACACACAGTGCTGCCACTTAAAAAGACAAGAGATATTTGAAGAGGGGGTGGGCATGGGGGGCAGGAATGAGGGAGGGAAATCTTTCAACTTCTTTCTGAAATAGAGAAAAAAAATCTAAAACTTCTGGTGCACAGGTTTGTTTGTTTGTTTGTTTTTTTCAAGAAAATTTTGCAGAAGCTATGTTTTTAAAGTGTACATTTTATAAAGTTTATCAGATATTTTCATATTTAAAGCCAAATGTAAATAGAAGTGTGTAAAGGGAAAAAAATTGCCATAGAAAGTATAATTCCAGTGCAGCAATTTCTGACAGCTAGTACCTATATGCTACCGGTTAGCATGGTTTTAGCAAGTATATACCAGCCTTATAAGGTTTGTATTGCTACGTTCTCCGGTTATTTATTTCAGCATGGACTGTTCATTTGAAAGCTTTTTTCTAGTTATTAGTATTTTAACAGTTACAAGCTTTTTTTGTCAAGAGCCATGACACAGGTAATGCACAAAATTTTTTTGCTGCATTTTACCTTCAAAACATTTGAAACATTTGTCCTTACTGCCCAGGTCTCCTTAATCAGTACACACATGCCATTAGAATGCAGATTGAAGGGACTCACCATGAATGTCTGGGGTCTATTCCTGGATACGTGTTGCTTCTCTATTGTAAGCAAACCCTCATTGAATTTACTTAGGACTTATTCCCTTTTAAAGAATTCTTTGCCCATATCTGGCTGGGCATTATATTTTTGGGAGGAGGCATAGATTCTTGGTTATCCTATTTTTAAATAAAATGTAGACAAAGTGACTTCTATTTTGATTATTGAGAAAGGAATAGTTTTCTATCCCTCTAAGCATATACTTGAATCAGACATTTAAAGAATGTCACACTATAGCACTGTAGTCATTTCCAAATTCCTGGAGAAAGTTTTACCTTTAAAAAACAGTCTGTTAATGAATTATTTTTTTCCCTTCACTTCCTTTCGTCCTTACAAACTCCCATCCCAAACCTTGATGTTTATTTCATGGACTGTATCCCCCCAAATTGTTACCCTTGCAAATACCAAATGTCAGTTCATATTATATGATAAGCCACTCGGTAAAGGCAAGAAACTTGTCCTGAGAGGCAGAGTGAGTTCTTTTTCACTCTGTGTCTACTAATGTTAAGGTGAAAAAAAAGTGTTGCATAGTCATCCCCACCCCCACGCACTCTCCCAACTAGAATCTCTTTTCTAGAGACGTTGGGTTTTAGCTCTGGCCTCTGGTGAGCTGAACAAACCCGGCCTGTACAACCGTGATAGTTGTTAGCTTCCCGTTTGCCGTCCTTTTGTATCTACAGTCTTCCTATTGTACTGCACAAACCATGGATTGTACATATTTTTATATATTATGTCTTATTTTATTATTTCTAAATAAAAACTTCAATGTTGAAAAACAAAGTGGTGCGAGATCTCTGGGCTTCCTCTATGCTTATGTAGAATCGTGGAGCGGTAAAGCAAGTGTCGGTACACAATGGGAGAGAAACCCTACGGTTTGCGTGAATAGAGCCATAGAAATGGCCCTCACAGGCAGGTGCAGTGGGGTGGCAGATTAGTTTAATCCAGGTGGGAGGAAGTCAAGCTCATATTTTGTTTTCGGACAGAATGACCTAGGTGGAGAGAGGATAGAAAAAAAAAACAATAAGAAACAAGCAAACATAACTAACAAAAAATATAATAAGGTTTAGATTTAGATTTTTTTTTGTTTAATAACAACAGTCCCTTTTCTTGGAACCTAGGTATTAACTCATTCTCAAAAAGCAAATTGGAAAGTTATTATTGTTGTGTTAGAACTCAGAAGTAGGCACGTTGTTTCGTAAAGGGCCAGATAGTAAAATTTTTTGGTTTGCAGAACAGAGACTGTTTGCCTGAACTCTGCAACTCCAACCCTGTGGTGTGAAAGCAATGACAAGTAGTATGGGATCAATAGTGTGGCTGTGTTTCAATAAAACTTTATTTACAATGGCAGGTGGCGGGCCAGATTTATCAACCTCTGCTGTAGTTGAAGAAGCTGAGGCTAGATTTGAAAGCTCATTAGTCATGAAGTGGTATTAGAATTCAGGTGTATTCTGCCTCCAAACCTAGTTTAATCCACTAAGGTATATGTTGTTTGAAGGCACGAAGTTACCAAGGACACACGGTCTCAGGGAAAGTATGGCTTCCTCTCTAGCAAATTTGGAATAACTGTTTTTGAAGATGGGAAATACAGAGAAAACCTGCATTCAAAAATAAGGGCTGCTCCTTAATATTTTTTCCTTGGCAAACAGTTAACTATGTGTAACTATGTTTCAGCATGGTTCTGGTTCTTAATAAGTTTTAACTTAATAAGTTTGAATATAATCTTAACAGCAAACCAATGGAGTAGGTGCTATTTTTATCCTCATTTAAGAAATGAAGAAATGAGGCCCAGAGAGGTTGAGCATCTCATGCAAGCACACACAGCTAGTAGGTATTAGAGCTGAGATTTAAACTGAGGCCATTCAGCCCTGGGCTGTGCTTTGTATCACAACTCTATGTTTTCCGTTTGGAGTGATTCTTGGTAAAAGTTTCACTATCTAGTCTAAAGTCTTTCTGCTTCTCAGTTTTATTCTCCTAGGTGATGAAAGGGCTTTTTTCCCTCCACACAGGAAGCGTACTTCCTCCTTTAGTTCTTGGAGAGAAGGAATGACTCACAAAGGGTAGGCTAGAAATGTAAGCCTGGGTTGTGGGGTTCGGTACACACTTCGGATTAATTTCAATTAACTAGGAATTGCACGGGCCTGTTCAATGACAAAGCTCAATTACTAGCCAAACTTCAGGCACCCACCACGCCAGGGGCTTCTGCCGTCTTCCCATGGGACACAGTCAAAGGTGTAGCACAGTCCTGCTGGTGACCGGTCCTGCTGTGCAAGAGAGAGAATGGTGATTCCAGGCAGTGACTTGAAAGCTATAAACCTCGCCCCCACTTCGAAAATATTTTTATAAAATATATATGAAAAGAGAAAGCAGGGCGGGAGTTCAGAGTCCTTCTGCTTAACACCTTCTTTCCAATGGCATCCAAATGAGGCCTCCGAACCCTGGCCTCTGCCAGTAGCACCTCTCTGGATGATATCTGTAAATAAGAAAACAAGTTTTACTGTAGCGTGTTCCATTTTAGAGCTGGCAAGCTGATGAAATCAAGCAGATTAGCTTCTCCAAATTGAAAGAAAGAAAGGAAGAAGGAAGGAAGGAAGGAAGGAAGGAAGGAAGGAAGGAAGACTAGCTCTATGCACTTTAACTGAAGTAAAGAAACAAGCCCATGATTAGCATGTTTCAAGACCCCAGAGACTTCTTTTTCAAAATAGTTCCGGTCAGGGATCCGAGTCATTGATTTGAGCCACTGTACAAGGGTTGTTATGAGGCCTTTTTCAGAAGTTACCTACTTACGAGGTAACACCTGCAAGGTGCAGGTGCAGTAAGACGATCACAATACCTGGCTCAGGAATAAGGCGACCAACTGTCCTGGTCTGCCTGGGACAGAGAGGTTTTCCCAGGATGCAGAATTTGCAGTGCTGAAATTGGGGAAGTCCTGGGCAAACTGGGATGAGTCAGTCATCCACTTTGGGAGCAAAAGAATAGTTGGGGGAGGGGAGGGGAGGGAAAGGGCAGGTAAGAAGAAATTGGAACGGTAGGAGTTGGAGAAAGGTGAGCCAGATTCCACACAGGAATGTAACTAACTAGTAAGAATACTAATGATGAATAATTGCATATAAGTGGCTCTCTCCAAATAACTGAAGTTCGTAGCCTCAAGGCATTCATTGTTTTGGAGGATTGGTTTTCTAGAATATTATACAATTCTCTGCCTTATTCAAAAGATGGTCTGTGTTATTTAGTGTTTCCTTGTCTGGCACACGTTCTTCCTGGTAGGATGTACTTTTAAACGTTTGTCCATTAAGCCATCAGCTGCTACTTTGTCTGGGGCCAGAGTCCCCAGGCACCATCTAGGTTTCTCCTTCTGATCTGCTGTGTTGAGAAAAGCAGACAATTCATCATGAGGACTACATAACTAGTATCAGAACACCAGGCAGGCCAGAAACATGCAGATAAGACAAAAAGACATGCCTCGAATGTAGGGGTTTTATGGCGACTGTACTTATTTTCAGAGATCTTTTTAATTTTAGATTTGAGATTATATTCTGAGAGGTCAAAGCTATTAGGAGTTCTGATATAGAAAAAACTGTTTAATGTGACCAAAAATTTGTTGAGGAACAATTATATGGTTGGTGTTGGTTCCTCAAAGTTTTCAATCTGGACTTTGTCAGTAGCGGATCACAATTTGGAAGATGGGCAGTGTAGGTGTGTGTTCATTTTGTCTTACACTTGAGGCACACCACTGGGTTTTATATAGTAAATACTTACCTACAGCAGTAACTACCGGTTATGGAATACTTGCAGCCTATGTGGTGCTGCGCAACAATACAGTTCTTGCCCTCCATGTACAGAAAGCTCTGCTTAATTAAATATTTTTTTCAGGATGTCGCCATGGAGTCAGATATTTTTGTAATATCTTTTTGGGAATGGTTTAAGTTGATTTTGTCAAAACTCTGTTGCCATGGAAGCTGCTCTTCTGTTTCTTTATGTTAAATGACCTCTTGGACCTTATACTCTGCTGAGATTAGGTCTGTGACATCATCTTTGACTCATCACCTCCCTGATCCTGACATGTGATCCGAAAGACACCCCTGGGGCAAGTATCTGGGTTCACTCCTGTATAACAGACACATGAATCAAGTTTCACACTGGATGGTTGTTGTGTTTGTTTTTTTTTTTGGCTTTCATGTTTCTGATTTTTGCTAATACACGTCTGCATCTGAAGTTGCAGTGAAGCAACTTTTTACTTGATTCTGCAAAGAGAATATTTCACTAAATAGCATGCAGAGGTGTCCTCAAAAGGAGTTGCATTAGGTATTCAGACACAGGCCAGAAAGAACAGATTATTTATCAACAGAGGAAGTTCAAAAGCAAGTGCGTACACATCCCTACAAAACAAAGTGCTCTCAGATCGCAGCCATTCATATGAAAGCGAGGGAAAGTTGAATCAGCATACAGGAGGCTTTCTCCTGTCCTGTCAGAAGCTCTCTTGGTGTGAGACCCACGAAGGTCTCCTCCCTGGCATTTCCAGAATCATCTGCAAGTTGCAGCCCCCATCCCTTGGGCACACTCAGCTAGTGAGGCAGCTGAAGAAGATGCCTCAGAGTTGCCATAGAAACAGAAAGAAGCAGTGAAGCACACCTCTCCTGCATACTCCTTAATTTCATCTGAGTGACTCGATTCAAGAACCAAAAATAAAATGTGCACGGGGATGTAATTATATAAAAAGCTGTGTTCGGTTATAATAAATACAGTGTGTACTTTTGCTCAGTCTGCAGCTTGCTTCCCCCTTTCTATTTCAAAACACTTAAACTATTCAAGCAGGCATCTTCATTTAAGGTTTAATTGAAGGGACTCCAAGATTTTGCCAGATAATGGTGTCAGATTTTCTTCTGAAAATCCCTACCTTTCTTCTGAATCCCTACCTTTCCCCTGCCCTTTCTCAACATCTGAATGTGGAGTCTGCTAACACAAAGTCCATTTCCAGTGTATGCTCATATTGGGTCCTTTGCCTTCAGTTCACTCGCCTAGAGGTTTAGGATCATTTTGTGGAATGAGAAAACTGAAGTAGAAGGAGAATGCCATAAAAGCAATTAGTGGAAAAGGTTAGCAAAATAATTCTCCTCCCCTTCCTCCTCCTTCTTCTCTTTCTCCTTCCCCTTCCTCTTCTCTTTCCCTTCCTTCCTCCTCCTTCTTTATTCTTCTTTTTTTAAAAAATCCTGTTGCTACTTGCAATAAACACTTCCTTTCCCACTGGAGAGCTGAGGGAGGGAGAAACAGGCATCTCAGAGTGCCCCCCTTGCAATATCATCTCACTAGGGAGGCAGGGTTCAGAATTTAGAGAGTCTGTCCCTGTCTCTGCACCTTTGGAGGGACTGAAGGATTTGATTCGCTGGAAGAAAAAAAATTATCTCCTCTTCTTCGTATCCTTTAGTGAAACAAGGCAATCCTGAACCTGCACGTTGGCATGATTTGAAAAGTCCTTAGGCTGCTATTTCCTGCTCGTGATTTGCATGCAGTTGTGTGCAGTATAGAATTTACTTAGAAAGGAAAATGCAAAAGTACAAGGCGTGTCTGGTGAGGCAGAATACAATCCTATTTGTTGTCTGTGAATACGCCCTGTCTGTTCTCTTGATCTGGAGGATCATGGATACCTTCTTAGCATTTTACACTGCATGAGGGCCTCCACTAAGGCTTTCTACAAGGCTAATAAGTCCTTTATGTGAATAAAATATGAAAGAGGTTTTCCCATTTTGGAGAGCTGGCAGCCTGCAGGTAAAAGTGTGGCTGGT